GTCGTCCAGAGTTGTCCCGCGTCTGGGTCTTTATGCGCCCTTGCGTCCGAGCCCTTTAGCGCTCGCTTCAGGACGACCATTTTGACGAAATGTCGAGGCATCCTTCGACGATGTGCTGGCGATGTCGGAGGGAGGGGTCATTTACCGAATGGAGTGGCTCAAGAAATTGCACGCTGTCTTTTTCGCCGCCGAGCGAGTCGCAGGCTTACGTTCAAAAGTAGTGAAGTGTTTCGCAGTGCTTTTATGCGAGAGTTCCCCCCCTGAGCTGAAGGCTCGGGTCGCGAGGTGGCTCGAGGAAGAGCTGCCCGCTTGGGCTAAGTTCTCAATTGTCTCGCGCCTGACATACCTCGGCATGGAGATAGGCCCCGATGTTGTGCGCCGGATGTGGACAGACCCGTTGGAAAGTATGCCGACCGCTCTGCGGCCGCAGCCCGTGCCCGGCTTCCGCCAGTGGTTACGGCGAAGCTCTGCAATGGCAGATCCATCGCGACTCTCGGTTACGTGTCTCAGTTTGCCCTCCCCCCCCCGCGCGCCCCCCTCTCAAAGAGCACGCTGTCCCGGCCTGTCAATGTGCAGTTGCTCACTGCGGTCTTTCTCGCGCCGACTTCTTTAACCTCCCCGACTGGGGGTGCCCACGATACCAGAGTCTCATCGTGATGAATATTGCCGCTCTAATCCGCTGAGCAAAGCACGCATTCGATGGTTGGCCACAGCTGCGCAATCAATTGAAGGCTCATGCGGACAGAAACCTCCCAGTGGTGTGGGTTCTGGCTGGTGACCTCTCCCCCTCGTTCTGGAACGCCCCCCCCCTTGTCCAGCCTCCTCTCCTCGCTTTGCCCTTCTGCTTTGCATCTCGCCTTTGCCCGTCGCCTTTTGTCTTATTTCCCCGCCTCCTCCCCTGCCGTTGCCGGAGTCGACTGGGGAGCTGCGCGGGAGAGTGTGCGTGCCCTCCCGCCCTCGTGGGCGATCGCTGTCGTCAAAACTCTGTGCGGGTGATGGCCCACGCGGGCGAGGTTCCACGACGACGGAGGCGAGCTGCTCTGTTGTCTAGGTTGTCCAAAACCCGATGCCATCTCCCACTATCTTATTTGCGCCAAATTTTTGCTTCTCGTGAGTGCAGTTGCTAAACGAGACCTGCCTGAATGTCCGATCGCGCGCCTCGGCCTTCTCTCTCCGTCCTCTGCCTCGCTCGCCGTTGCTGTCGTGTTGTGCTCCCTATGCCTCCGCCTCTCCAACCTCCCGCAGGCGAGGTCAGTGCCTGGCATTCCGCCGCAGGTAACATAATCAGTGCTACCCATCGTGCGCGACGCCGTGTGCAGGCAGGCGGCGACGGCAAGCTAGGCGAGGACGAACTCGGTGCGCCCCCAGCGACGCGCCAGGAGGAGGAGGAGGAGGAAAAGGAGGAGGAGGAGGAGGGGAAAAAGGCAGAGGAGGACGAGGAGGAGTAGGCGGAAGAGGAGGACTAGGAGGAGGAGGAGGAGGAGGAGGAGGAAGAGGAGGCTAGACTCGACCCAGAAATGCCGGGCGCAAAAATTCAAACAACCCGAGGACCCCCCCAGTCCCTGACCCTAGCGCCCCCGCGCCACAGGAGTAGCCAGCGGTCAGGGGTCGAAAGGGCCATCGGGTTGGGGGGCCACGCGGCCCCGCCGACTGGGCGCCCGGGCCCCCGTCCTGGCCTCAAGAGCTCTCGAGCCCACCAGCTGGGCTTGGGCTAGCTGGAGCCCGAAAAGCGGGAGCGCCCCCTGAATCGAAGGCCTCGTCGGGCCCTCCGATGAGGCCACTGCCTGGGTCACCTCGGAGCGCGCAGGGGGAAAGTGCTCGGACCAAAACGAAATCTCGGCCATCGAGGGGGACCTGAGCTCGCCGAGCTTCTTTGCGCCCCCTTTGGGATGCCTGCCCAGGGCGATTTTATTTAACAGCGAAGACTGATAGGTTTCTGATGGGGTCAAAAGAGAGCATCTGATGACTCCCCACAGGGGGTCTGGGGGAGTCTGGGCGGGAGCCGGACAGGCGAGGGCCGGGCTCGTTTTAAACAAACAGTCGCAAACTTCGTGCTCTTCGACCTCCCATTACTCCATTCCCGGGCCACATTTTGAATGCCCGGAGCCAACTGTAGGCCACTTCGTGCTCTTCGACATCCCAGAACACCATTCCTGGGCTACACTTTCAATGCCCGGAGCCAACTGTAGGTCACTTCGTGGTCTTCGAGTTCCCAGAACTCCACTTTCGGGCCACATTTTCAATGCCTGGAGCCAACTGTAGGCCATTTCGTGTTCTTCGAGGTCCCAGAACTCCATTCCCGGGCCACACCTTGGATGCCCGGAGCCAACTGTAGGCCATTTCGTGCTCTTCGACTTCCCAGAATTCCACTTTCGGGCCACATTTTGGATGCCCGGAGCCAACTGTAGGCCACTTCGTGGTCTGCGAGTTCCCAGAACTCCATTCCCGGGCCACATTTTGAATGCCCGGAGCCAGCTGTAGGCCACTTCGTGTTCTTCGAGTTCCCAGAATTCGGCTCCCGGGCCACATTTTGAATGCTCGGAGCCAACTGTACGCCTCTTCGTGCTCTTCCACTTCCCAGACTGTCAAGACTCATCATCTTCATCATCATCATCGTCTTGGCTACAGCCCTGCTTTCGAAGATGTCCTTTCAAAGGAACTGCGCAGCGCCTACTGCGCACATTAATGCCAGGACATGCTGATAGTTCTCGGTTTGGCGGCGGTGCTCCTGACCCTGCTGCATTGAACAGCGGTGCTCCTCAGCCTGCGGCAGGGAACAGCGCTGCTCCTCAGCGTGCTGCGTTGAGCGGTCCTCTGCAAACGCTCGTCGAGCACGTGAAGCAGTTCGGCCGGATGTTTACTTAACAGCGAAGACTGATAGGTTTCTAGTAGGGTCAGAAGAGAGCATGATGACGCCCCAGAGGGGGTCTGGGCGCGATCCGGGGGAGGGTGCCGGGAATTTTTTCAAGCCAGCAGTTATACACTTCGTGGTTTTCGAGGTCCCAGAACTCCATTCCCGGGCTACATTTTCAATGCCCGGAGCCAACTGTAGGTCACTTCGTGGTCTTCGAGTTCCCAGAACTCCATTTTCGGGCCACATTTTGAATGCCCGGAGCCAACTGTAGGCCACTTCGTGGTCTGCGAGTTCCCAGAACTCCATTCCTGGGCATGATTTTGAATGCCCGGAGCCAGCTGTAGGCCACTTCGTGTTCTTCGAGTTCCCAGAACTCCATTCCTGGGCATGATTTTGAATGCCCGGAGCCAACTGTAAGCCACTTTGTATTCTTCGAGTTCCAAGAACTCTGTTCCCGGGCAACATTTTGAATGCCGAGGCAGGCTGATGTTGAGGCGGAGGCAGGCTGAGGCTGAGGCAGGCTGAGGCTGAGGCCGAGGCTGAAGGCAGACTGAGGCTGAGGCTGAAGCAGGCTGAGGTTGAGGCTGAGGCAGGCTGAGGCTGAGGCTGAGGCAGGCTGATGCTGACGCAGGCTGAGGCTGAGGCTGAGGCTGAGGCTGAGGCTGAGGCTGAGGCACGCTGAGGATGAGGCCGGCGCTGAAGGCAGACTGAGACTGAAGCTGAAGCAGGCTGAGGCTGAGGCTGAGGCTGAGGCAGGCTGAGGCTAAGGCTGAGGCAGGCTGAGGCTGAGGCACGCTGAGGCTGAGGCCGAGGCTGAAGGCAAACTGAGGCTGAGGCTGAAGCAGGCTGAGGCCGAGGCTGAGGCAGGCTGAGGCTGAGGCTGAGGCAGGCTGATGCTGAGGCAGGCTGAGGCTGAGGTTGAGGCTCATGCAGGCTGAGGCTGAGGCAGGCGGAGGCTGAGGCCGAGGCTGAAGGCAGACTGATGCTGAGGCTGAAGCACCCTGAGGCAGAGGCTGAGACGGCTGAGGCTGAGGCTGTGGCACGCTGATGCTGAGGCAGGCTGAGGCTGAGGCTGAGGCTGATGCAGGCTGAGGCTGAGGCAGGTTGAGGCTGAGGCCGAGACTGAAGGCAGACTGAGGCTGAGGCTGAGGCTGAGGCAGGCTGAGGCTGAGGCTGAGGCTGAGGCAGGCAGACTGAGGCTGAGGCTGAAGCAGGCTGAGGCTGAGGCTGAGGCAGGCTGAGGCTGAGGCTGAGGCAGGCTGATGCTGAGGCAGGCTGAGGCTGAGGCTGAGGCTGATGCAGGCTGAGGCTGAGGCAGCTGAGGCTGAGGCCGAGGCTGAAGGCAGACTGAGGCTGAGGCTGAAGCAGGCTGAGGCTGAGGCTGAGGCAGGCAGGCTGAGGCTGAGGCTGAGGCAGGCTGATGCTGAGGCAGGCTGAGGCTGAGGCTGAGGCTGATGCAGGCTGAGGCTGAGGCAGGCTGAGGCTGAGGCCGAGGCTGAAGGCAGACTGAGGCTGAGGCTGAAGCAGGCTGAGGCTGAGGCTGAGGCAGGCTGAGGCTGAGGCAGGCTGAGGCTGAGGCTGAGGCAGGCTGAGGCTGCACTGACTGCGCGACTGCCGTCGCCACTGCGACTGCCATCGCGAATGCGACTACGACTGCGAGAACAGCAGAATTCTACAACAGGATTATCATCTGAATCTTAAGGGGAATGCTTCCAGATATGCTCCTACACATCGCTGTTAGGTTGCTTTGCCGGGATAATTATTGTTATTCTTGCCACTCGGAATCGGGCGTCCTGGACAGTAGTCCCGGAGGCCTCGTCTTTTCCTGTCCGAAACATAACCTCTACAAGTAGTGCAGAACAGAAGGGCCGAATTTTCACATGCCTCGGGGAGGGGGGGCGCCGCGAGCAAGGGGTGCCCGCGCACGCGCCGCGGCCGCAGCGAGCCGTCTAGGCCAGGCAGCGGAGCCCCCCCCCCCCCCCGCAAATGGGGTCCGCGCTAGCCGACGGGGCCGCATCCTCCTCGCAGGCCTCGGCAGGATCGACGGGCCACTCGCCCAGGTTAATGATCTCCAGGGCCGTGGCCCCCATGGAGTCGCGGAGGCCCGACGCGCGCGGCGATGTGCACCTCCTGCGCTGCCGCGTACCTCGCCGCCAGGCGGGCGATGAAGAGGCAGCCCTCGGTGCAGTGGATGTCGTTGACATCCGCTCGGGCCGCCGAGGCCCCGTCTTCAGCTCGGGCGTCGGCCAGTTCGTTGCCATCGAGCTCGAACTGCGTGATCAGCCCGTCCCTGACTGCCTGCTGCCCCAGGTGTGCCTTGACTTTGATGACCTCCGCGTCCTTGAGCCTCTCCGCCCGCCCAGCCCAGAGGTGGGCGCGCTGGCTGCCCGCCGCTGCCGCCGCCAGAGGATTGGCAGCGCATCGCACAAGGAGCCCCCAGCAATGGTGTCGGTGAAGACCTTCACCGCGCAGTCCTCTCCGTCGCTGGCCAGCTGCTCGGGCCCTTCCGACAGCGGGACTGAGCCCCATGCCTCAGCGACCAGCCTGCGATGCCTATCAAAGGCGATGATGGACCATCCAGCTGTCCTCAGGCACGGGTAGCTCTGATCGAGCCCAGATCCGTCCACGAAGACGCGCCCCCCGTCGGCGAAGGGCCCAAAATTCGGCCAGCAGGTCGCGTGCTTGAAGACGTCGTTGGAACGGGGCCTTCTCTGGGCCAGCTCGGAGACGTCGGGAAACAACCCCCTAGCGAACAGCATCGTGAAAGGGTGGCCCAAGAGCTCGACGCGTGCAGCTGCGTCCCGCAGCAGCGGCTCCAGGACATCGCGCCTCCAGCCATCGTGAGCTTCGCGCCTGAACCGCCTGTGGAAGAGGGTGCCGACTGGGTGGTCGCAGAGCTGGCAGCTCTTCGGGGCGGAGGGATCCTCCGCTCCGACCCTGGCCTGGCACCAGTAGGTGTTCTGGATGAGGCAGCGCAGCGCCCTCTGGTGGTGCAGGTCCCACCTCAGAGCGGTGGCTAAACGCGTCGAGGATCGGCTGCCAGAAGGGTGGGGCCTCCCAGCCCCACATGCTGGAGCCGTGCCGCCTCGCCTCCTCGAGCCCGATGGCCCGTCGGCAGTCCTGGGAGACCATGTGGCCGAAGAAAGCTGGCGAATAGCGACGTACTTGGCATTCGTGGCCCAACGCGTCATGGAGCGTATAGGGGTCGCCGTTGATGAATCTCCAGCCGACCCGCTCGAGCGTGAGCGCCAAGGCGCTGATCGGCTCCTTCACCAGGCGCCGGGGGTGCATCCTCTTGGCGTTGCAAAGGCCGGCGGCGAGGCAGGAGTGGGCCGCCTCCTCGGGGAGCAGGGGGGCCCAGGTCATTTCGACGTAGGCCATCAGCGCCGTCTTGGTGACGATCGTGAGGGGGCCCCGCTTCCAGCCGCCTGACTGGCCAAGGCTGGCGACCCCCAGGGCAGCCCCGCGGGCCAGTCGGCCCCCCCCCTGGCCTTGATGGCCCCGACGCGCAGCCGATGGAGGCGGGCGTTGGGCACCCGCATGATCGCCGAGCCCCAGGAGGCTTTCGCTGTGGGGCCAGCTCTGAAGTCCCTTGCTCGGCTGATCGAGGGGCTGAACAGCCTGGTGAGCTTCCTCCCTTGGCATCGAGCGGCCTTCTCCCGAGCCGCTGAGGTCGTTGCGCGCCGGTAGGAACCCGGCGCTGCGTCGCAGCCCAGGTCCCTGAGCACGTCCACGAAGTCGCCTTCCGCGGGGTCCCAGCCAGGCTGGCTCCTGAGGGCGTCGCGTAGCTTGCTGCTGGTAGCCAGCGCCTGGGTCTTGTTCCTGCAGAGCGGAAGGCTGGCCTCCTCCATCTTCTTGCAGAAGGTGCGTGAGGCAGCGGCCAGCTGCTGGGCTACCATGGTGCACGGCCTAGTCGCATGGCACGAGACATCGTCGACCACGTTGAGGATCCTGGCGATGGGGGCCGCCGAGGCCGCTGCCCTGAGGGCCGGAACGAGGAGGAGCTTGGCCAATGCCGTTGCGCACGAGCAGCCTGCCACCACCGTGCCATTCGCATAGACGGCGCCACTGAGGCAGGTGCCGATGTGGGCCCTCCGAGGGGCCCAACATGTGCAGCACAGCGCCCTCAGCAGCCCCAGGTTGAAGCCCGCGCCTGCGCCGCAACCTTGAGCTCGAAATGCCCGATGTGCTCGTAGTATTTGGATATGTCGGCGTAGAGGAACCCAGCTTCTTCAAGGGAGGACTTCGCGTGGGCCGCGAAAATGTTGTGGAGCCAGGCTGCCTTGTCACACCCTTGATGAGGAGTTGCCCCAGAAGGCCTGCTTGTCGATGGGCCGCTCCCACTTTGCACATTCCATTTGTCGTATGCGGGGCCAGATCCTGGCTGGCATCGGCATGGGCCCGATGGGCCGCTGGCCGCCGTCAGGCTTCGGAATGAAGACCGCGATGACGGTCCAGCGCTGGCCACGCTGCGGGTTGCGCTCCCGAGAATTGAGCAAGCTGGCGAGCCTGAGCAGGGTATCGTCGCCGACCTCCAGTAGCAGTCGAGGATGGAAGTTGCCCCGCCTCAGGCCCGTGGTTTTGGGGAACTTGCGGGCCGCCAACTTGATGTCATCGATTGTGATGGGCTTGAGCGTCCAGTCCCCGGTCTCCCAGGCCATGGGCAGCGTCGGCGGAGTCCTTCTCGAGGATGGGCAATGGCTCGGCATGGGTCTTCTTCGAGACCCTGCGGGCGATGGGCCCCTGCCGCTCGAAGGCCAGCTCGGTGAACTCGCCACTCTTCAACTTGCTGGCCTGGGAGTCCTCCTTGGTATGTCGACCGCAATCTGCTCGATCATGGCAATGAGGTTGTAGCCCGTGGCCGTTTGTAGGCTGACTTCTTTTCAGACGCTGTCGAGGATGGAGCCGTCGAACATGGCTATGCCCAGGTCCTGAAAGTGGCCGCGAAGGCGGAGCGCCCTTTCTCGCAGCTGTCGCCCTCGTCGGGACTTGTGGCTGTCTGCCGATCCGCCCAGGCCCAGCTCCCACCTGCGCCTGGCGAGGTGACGGAGGGGGGGCCAGCGCTGGGTGATGGGCGAGGCGTCGTCCAGCCTGCCTGCGTGCACCTTGACCTCGAGCGGGGCCGTGATCGCCCTGATGCCCTTGGCCCTGCCCTTGAAGTAGCGGGCCTCGCCCTCAGGCATCCCATGGAGCGCCTGCAATGCCAGCTCCGCATGCGTGAACCAATCTTCGATGGGGCCATCAGGCTCAGTGTCGGATGGGGGCCGCGCCAGCGACTCGACCAACGGGTCTTGCCTGCCTCTGGCCACGTCATCGGCCACGTACTCCAACTCGAAGGCCTCGGGCATCCTCTGGGTCCGCAACATGGGCCGCTGCCAGCAGCCTTGCAGAACTACGGAAACCGCTGGATGAGGAACGTTCGGCGTGTCGGCATGGGCCGTAGCGGAGCCCACCATGGCCTTCAATGCCGTCGAGATGACAAAGTAGTCGTGCTCGTTGCCATTTCATGTAGCTGCCCCCGGGCCCAGCACAGCCCCTCCGATAAGGGCTGGCCATCCTGGGTTCAAGAGCTCCGAGGCCTCGTTGTTCCAGTCGCGCCAATCGCGAAGGGGTCGTCCAAGCTCGCGCGCCACTCGTGGAGGTCGGCGAGCAGCTGGCGGTTGGGCCCTTGCAGACCCGCAGGATCCTCGAGGTAGGCCGAGATCATGTCAAGAGTGGTGCCCTTGCCCAAGGCGGTCCTGCGGGCGAGGAACCTGTGCTGCTGGCCGGCCAAAGACTGGGCGTATCTCGCCGAGCCCAGCAGCCTCGAGGTGACGATGCCAACGCCCGCCGAGACCGCCATGGCCACCTCTCCCGATCTAAGCACAGCTGAGCACGCCAGCTGGAGGCTCCATCGGTTGGCCCATCCGTGGGCTTGCTCTTCGGCGGTCTGGGGGGAACATCTCGTCCCCTGGACCATTGCGACCTGCGGCTCGATCCCTTTCCTGCGCATCCACTCGTGGACGCTAGCGATCGAGTTCCAAGTGTTACCTTTGTAGGTGTAGACTCGGGGATCACCATCAAGCGAGCCCTGCTGCAGCGCCAGGGGCTCCAGGTGGGGCAGGCGCCGCTCGAGGCTGATGGCTACCGCGCCTGCACCGTCAGACGTATGTCTTGTGTGCAGGACCAGACTCTGCATTTCTGTAGCCGCGGGGTTTGCCCCAGCTGGGCATCGGGCCTCCTGGTCGACGCTGCCTCCGTGCCTGGCGGGCATCGACGATCCCCCATCGGGGGCGCCCCTGGCTCGTCCGACGCCGTCGGAAGCCGTTCGGGGGGCCTCTCTGAGCGGGTGGCAGGCGGGGCGCGCGGGAGCCCCAGGGGGAGTTCTTTTGGGAAAAGAACCAAAACCAAAACCGATGGGATTCGGCACGCCGGGTACCCCTTTGCTGAAGCAGAAGGGGGCGGCGGATCGAAGACGCCTACGGCGAATCACCGCCGCCCCCTGCCTTTGCGGAAGCGCCTATGTGGCCGAACGTTGAGGCCAGACCTGCCAAGCCATCGGGCCACGTGTTCCCCGAATCGGTTTGGATAGCCTTCGGGGAACACGTGGGCCTCTTGAAGGTCATCTTGGCCGTCTTGGAGGCCTTTTGGGCGATCTTTCGGCGATCTCTGGGGGCTCTCGGGCCGTCTCGGGCCGTCGGAAGGCCGAAAGGAAGTGAATGCCAAAATCAGTCAAACACCTAAGGGACGTTTATGTTTTTGGTCTCTTCTGGCCTTCTTGGAGGCCCTCTTGGGGGCCTCTGGGGCCCTTTTGGGCCAGCTTCGAGCCAACTTCGGCCATCTTGGTGGGTTCCTGGCACGTCTGGCGCCGTCGGGAGCCGTCTGGGGGGCCTTTCTGGGCCAACGGGGGGCCCTCTTGGGGCGCTTCGGGGCCGTCTTGGAGGCCATCTTGGGCGTCTTGGAGGCCATCGTGGGCGTGTTGGAGGCCTTTTGGGCCGTCTTGGGGCCCTCTTGGGGCCATCCTGGAGGCCACTTCGGCCGTCATGGGGCTCTCTTGGGGGCCTCTTGGGCGATCTTGGGGGCCTCTTTGGCCGTCTGGAGCCGTCGGAATGCCGAGAAGAAGCAAATTCCAAAATCTTTCCAAAACCAAAGGGAAATCAATGATTTTGGCCTCTTCGGGCCCTCCTGGAGGACCTCTTGGAGGCCTCTTGGGCCGTCTGGGAGGCCTCTGGGGGGCCTCGTGGCCAGTCTGGGGCCTTCTTGGACTCTCTTGGGCCGTCTTGGAGGCCGCCTTGGACCATCTTGGGCGGACTTGGAGGCCATCTTGGACCATCTTGGAGGCCATCTTGGGCCATCTTGGACATCTTGGAGGCCATCTTGGAGCCGTCTGGGGCAGAAGATTGGGGGAATGAGGTCCGTGGGAAAAATCCCGGGACCCCGGCGGGGCGGGCCGAAACCCGCTTGGAGAGTTCTTTTGGGAAAAGAACCAAAACCAAAACCGATGGGATTCGGCACGCCGGGTACCCCTTTGCTGAAGCAGAAGGGGGCGGCGGATCGAAGACGCCTACGGCGAATCACCGCCGCCCCCTGCCTTTGCGGAAGCGCCTATGTGGCCGAACGTTGAGGCTAGACCTGCCAAGCCATCGAACCATGTGTTCCCCGAAACGGTTTGGAAAGCCTTCGGGGAACGCGTGGGCATCTTGAAGGTCATCTTGGCCGTCGTGGAGGGCTTTTGGGCGATCTTTGGGGGCTCTTGGGCCGTCTCGGGCCGTCGGAAGGCCGAAAAGAAGGAAATATCAAAATCCGTCAAAAACCTAAGGGGCATTTATGTTTTTGGTCTCTTCTGGCCTTCCTGGAGGCCCTCTTGTGGGCCTCTTGGGCCCTTTTGGGCCAGCTTCGAACCAACTTCGGCCATCTTGGGAGCCGTCTTGGGTGCCTTTCTGGGCCAACGGGGGACCCTCTTGGGGCGCTTCGGGGCCGTCTTGGAGGCTATCTTGGGCGTCTTGGAGGCCATCGTGGGCGTGTTGGAGGCTTCTTGGGCCGTCTTGGGGCCCTCTTGGGGCCATCTTGGAGGCCACTTGGGCCGTCATGGGGCCCTCTTGGGGGCCTCTTGGGCGATTTTGGGGGCCTCTTGGGCCGTCTTCAGCCGTCGGAATGCCGAGAAGGCGCAAATGCCAGATATGTTTTTGAACGGTTTGAGCTTGGGCTTTTGTAATTCGGTGATGTATACCCACAATCTGACTTGCTAAACGATACAGGAGTTTAAACATCGGAACCCCGCTCTCCCCCTTGTTTGCCCCCTCTCCCCCTCTCTCCATAGCCTGTCTTCGGCTCAGAACGGGCGGGGCACCGCGTGCTCTCCCCAGGTTCCACTGCGGTTCTTCCGGCCTTGAGCTTGGCGCTGCTCGCGGGGCTAGGGTGGCGTCTGGCTCCTCCGCTTCTGGTGCCCGAGCCGCTGCCCGTGTCTCCAGTTTGGCTCGAGGAGGTCGCGGAGGCCTGTGAGGCGGCCTTCTCCGCAGCCCTGTACGCCGAGTCGGCGGCTCGGGCGGCGCTCGACGTGGCAGCCTCGCCGCCGCCCCCGCCGCCGCCGCCGACGGACTGCGAGCCCTGCGTGTGCCCGGAGCAGCAGGGCGACGAGGAGCTGAGGGCTCTGGCGGTGCACGTGCTCGTGGGTCTTCTCGCGCCAGCGTGGCTCTGGTTGGGCGATCGGTGCTGCGGCAGCTCGAGTCGCCCAGGCCTTCTACGACATGCTGTGCCGACGCGGGCGCCGGGCACCCCTGCCCCCGTTGCCCGCGGGGGAGGAGTGGTGCGCTGACCTGCCCTGCGGGGCGCGCGCCAAGGTG